TGAATTTCTTGAAAATAAGTAAAGGTGAGGATACTTTCCGTACCAGAGACGAATATTGGGAAAAGATAACGAAGCTGATGAAGATGAAGCGGAGCTGGCCCATGGTTGTTCTAGGCTCCAGGTCAGTTTCTTTGTCTTGTTGAGGTTCCCAGCAATGGGAATCTCCATGCATAAAAGTACCCAGATGGTGAGATGCAATTTGTTTCCATGGATGAAACTATGAACAAACTCTATTTTCAAGATGAACAAGCTACACCGGCTAATCCTCTAGGATTCATAACTGTCTGAAGACTCAGCTCCAACATCATTAGAATGGGTGGAAGACCCGAAATTTGTTTCTGGTGCGGTGTCCACGGTTTCAAATCGTGGTCGCAATCGTGTTTTCGGTCATTTCGGGTTTATCGTGATTGTGGCTGTCGCGGGCGCTATTGTGTGCTATTGTGGGTGTAGCGGGTAACTCGGACGGCAGTGAAGCTGTTATTTCACGGGCGCTATTACGTTTTCGGAGCATGATTTGAAACCCTGTCGGTGTCTACCGATTACCTCTAGGAATAAACATCGAAGGCCCCGAGTTCGAACCCCTTGTAGACGATCCATGCATGGGAAACACAGGGATCCTTCAAAGTGCGGAAAGTTTGGTTCTTTAACGTAAGAACCTTGTTTCCACATACCATGCATGATTATTGTGGTGAATGTTTACGTATGTTCTTATTTGAATTCTCAATGTAAACAACTTTGTGTTCTAATGTATGTTGTTTATTTGAATGCCCACATGTCGAGTTTGTCCAAATAATATTTTTTATTCAGAGCCTTCAAGTCGATGTGATAAGTTTTAAAAAAATATAATTTTTTATTAGAATTTTATCACATCGAAATAATAAATTCTTATAAAAAAATATATTTAGCGGAACTCATCATGCCCACGTGACGAGTTCCAGGTCACTATAACAAATGTCGTAGTTCCTAACCTAAAATATCTAGTGTTGTATTGGGCTAAATAATTAACCCACCTATGATATTGAGCCTATTTCGACAAGTCAGCTGACATAAGGATTTGGGCTTATGGTAGGGCAGCTTGGGACCGAGTCAAGTAAGGTCAGGGTCCTTTTTTGGGCTTATGGTTTTCAGTGATCTTGCTCCTTTCTTTTTATATTTCTGGAATCAAATTGAAAGAAAATTAAAAGTGTGGACTAAAATGAAATTTTATATAAAAAAAATTAACTAAATTATAAAATGAAATGGTAATATTAATGATGACGTCAAAAAATTTAATTCACTTAAAGATTCTTGTTTTAGTCATTCCGCTTTCATTTCTTTACAATTTGATTCCAAAGTACAAAAAGAGAAGGAAAAAAAAAGAGGAATTGATTGTTAAAATGGTCCTCCTTAGGTAACTTTTTTATTCACAATATCAGAGTTCGAACCTTAAATACGAATAAATAAGATATAGACAATGCTCAACAAAGTGTCGTAGTTTAATGACGTTACATGTTAGTAAAAGGGGTTAGTTTATAATTTGACCCATGGATTTTAGACAAAATATCAATTTGACTTTTAAAATATAGATAAAATATCAATTTGACCCATAAATTCGGCCAAAATCCCTCACCGTCGGCCACGATCACAGACGACGGCCATATTCATCGAAAGTTTTGGACCCTTAGAAATTTTAATTCACTCTTTCTTGGACTCCTAAAAGCATATTTGATGTTCGTTTCATCGAAAATACTTCGAACTCCACGAATCTAACATAAAATCCATGACTTCTTTTAAAATTAAACTATAACAATAAATGAGTAAACTACTTCTTTGATATCCCACCTATTTTTGTATTTAATTTCGAAGAATAACAATGATTCTAGATAAGATTTGTGAAATTTTAGACATTCTTTTTATAAATCAAACATTAGATTCACGTTCGGGAACTCAAAACGAGTGAACTAAGAATTTTAGAGCCCAATAGTTGTCGGTAGTGAAGGCCAGTGGTAGCATACAATGAGCGACAATCGAGGACGAAAGACTTTAATCAAATTCATTGATTAAATTAACATTTTATCTAACATTTAAGGTTCAATTTGATATTTTATCTAAAATTCAAGAGTTTAATTAAAAATAAATCCATTTATACCAAGTCATCAAAATAATGATATTTAACATCCCAGACATCAAAATGTTATAAATCAATAACGTAAATTATCAAAATGTTACTTTTTTAAATTCAATACAAACAAATAAACACTTATAAAATTAAATGATCATTTCTAGGGGTGTTCAAAGTTCGATTTTAACCGAATTAACCGGCCGAACCAAAAAGAAATTTCGATTAATCGGTCAATCAACGGTTAAGATTTTTTTCCAAACTTCTATTATCGAATAATTCAATCCAAAATTGATTAATTAATCGAACTAACCGAAATTTTAAATATATATATTATTTAACCTTGGGAGTGTTTAAATTTAGATTTTAACCAATTTAACTTTCCAAATTAATCAAATTAACAAAAAATATTAAATATATATTATATATTATTTATAAATTTTGGTTAATTCGATTAACCGACCGATTAATCGAACTTTGTTCGGTTCAATTAAAAATTTTCAAAAAAACAAATCAATTAACAATTTTTGGGTAATTCGATTTGATCGGTAAACTGAACCGATCGATTGAATACTCCCAATCATTTCGTTAATTTACCCTTACTATTAGTCCCTTTGGTTCATGGAGGTGGCATAAGATTCCATTCATGATCAAGAACTATGTTCTTCAACAAGGTCTAGGGTATAGGCACAAAGTACAAAGGACAATATCTAAACAAACTACACTGGTCTAGTGTTCTTACAGACATGTTTTTCTTTAGTTTGGTGGATTAGGATTGACTTTTATGAAGACATTGTGTCCAGTTTCGTTGAGATTATTATTTCTTACAGGTTTGTAAGGAAGGTTTAAAACCAGTTATCTACTACCACAAGAAGTTAACTCTCTCCGTCTGCCGTATCACCAACCATTGACTAAATAAAGTACAATTTCAGGCAGCCAAACCTAATTCAAACCAATAACATGTCGGCCGGTTCCGGTTCAGGTTCCGGTTCCGGCACGACACATGCCACTTAAATCATAAACCTAATCTAAATAGTTAACTCGATCAACTATATTCATATAACTATTGTTGCAAGAGACTAACCACTTCAAGATCATACAAGAACTACACGAAAAAAAAATGTTAAAAACTCATCTTAAAATATCGAATAAAAGATAAATACAAATATATATGATTATATCAATAAACGAACCAGAATAAAGTATTACCAATAATTATAAATCGGAATCAAATGTAATGTTATGAAAAACCATATATATCCTCTTTCAATTACTAGCAGACAAAATGACACAAATTCAAAGTAGATAGGTTCACATTTATGCAACCCATAATTTCATAAATACAAGGGAACAGTCGAATTTAATAGCAACCTAATGAGTGTTGGTATAAGTAGTTACGGTTCAGGAATTTGAGCTTGTAAGATTAAATTTGAATTCTATCACCGTCACTCTTGATGGGCAATCTATAAATTCCTATGTAAATCTCGATTAGGTCTTAAATATGCCCTGACCTTAGACTGGGAAGTCACCCCTTACCTAAACTTTTTATTATCAAAATAAATAAATCAACCTAAAGCCTACAGTTAAATTTACACAATATATAAATTATTCACAACCTTTCAAATTATTAAATTTAATTAAAAAAATTAAATTAATTAAATGTCTTCAATGATAAAAGAGAAAATATTATTTTCTTTAAAAATTTTAAATTCGGACACTTACGTCTGCAAAATATGTATACATTATTAATGAACAAGAAAGATTTTGAACAAATAATACTTTATATTATCTCATAACTCATAAATAAGAGACACTTGCACTTAAACACATTCGAACCCGTAATTTTTACCAAAGGTTAATCAATTTAAACTTGAAATTAGGGTTGTAAACAAATCGAGTTGAACTTGAATATTTCTGAACTATACTCGATTCAAAAACTCTAAACTCTACTCAAACTCGAACATAAATCTTATACTACACTTTAAAAAAATCAACACATAAATATAAATTTTATTAATGGTTTATTTTTAAAAAAATAAAATCTTAATATATTATATTTTTGAATTGTTCACTAAATTTTCGAATCAAGTATCAAGTAACTCTTTTCGACTCGTTAAGAACTCGAGTAAACTCATTCAGATCAAGTATTTTTAAAATTTTAATCGAATCAATCTTAAATAACTCATGATCTATCTCGTCTTATTAACAATTCTACCCGAAATATCAATCAAACAAATACTTGATAAACGAATTCGACTTTAAAATTTGCAAGGACTGAGAAGTACTAATTTTGGGGAGATTCAGATGAATAAGGCACCGAGTTGTTCACCTTCTGCCCCCTACCACATGCATTCTCCTCTCAAAGCTGAAATCTCTTTTTGGTCAAAAGGTCTGCAAAATCCGACTTTCTCTTAACACATTGACAAACTCTCCCATTTCATGCTTTTTCATGCATAATCAACATTGTTTAAATTAGCCAACAGTCGGCACAAGTGGTTATAAATTCTTAAATAAATTTCAATTAGATTAAAATATGTCCTGATCCTGAACGGAAAGAGATCTGAAATAAAAGAACCACACCTGACATAAACTTTTATGTAAGAAAAAAACATTGTTCAAATTAGAAGAAAACAATACAAAAAAAAATCAAGAAATACTGAAGAAATAAGACCAAGTTTCAACAAGCATACCATGAAAGAAGAATGATATCAATCCTTGCAATTCCTTCAACTCGAATTTGTTCAATAGAACTTCATTTTTTACCTGATTTAATCATTTGATAACGAATGCTCATACACTCTTACAAATATCATAGTTGAGATATCAAAAATATAACAACAGTACCTTAACTATCGAGGTTCCGATAAAGAACTGAAACCGATTACATTAATGATATTGTTGAATATGAACATAAACTATGAACATGGTCAAAACAAAAAGGCTTACCTTTGTTACTACTCTTACATGAAGAACGAAAAAAAAATCCACAACTTATTTTGCACCAAAAACCCACCAATCCATTGCTGTTTCCGGTTAAAAAAACGGCGATGGACGCGGCTGTGTACCCCAAAACAGGTCATGAGGCATTTGTCCATTAGGCAGCAAACTAGGAGGCAAGTTATACAAAGGCATTGAACCGCCTTGGGGATGATCTTGGCTCATACCTTGACACAGAGACTCCGAATTTCCATCGCCGCCGTCGTTGCTACTATTGTTATTGTTATGTCCGCCGTCATCACCGCCTCCGCCGCTATTCTCATCCTCCATAGGCAACCTTTCGAAAACCGCATTGGTAAATGTTGCCGCGATGACCATAACCGGTCCGGATGCTTCTAGTGCCCCGACTACACTGCCTCCGACAACCTGACCTTGCCCGCCGGCTAAATACACCGTCAGCCCCGTCGCAACCGGGGGAGACTGTGCGAGAAGGAACACACCGGATAAAGATAAAATCTCGAATCTTCCATGTAAAGTGATCACCCCACTAGGGGCAGCTGGTTGTCGGAGAGTAACATTGGTGACCACCCCACTTCCGCTCAAAACCGAGACACCGCAGCGGCGGCGTTGAGCGAAATTGCTGATGCACTCGGCAACATCGCCGCCGCTAGCGATTTCAAGCACATGGCTATGGAGAGAGTTAGGGCTTTCTTTAGTAATAACAACGGGAGGCTTTGGCTTGTTCTTCGAACCAGGCGGTCGACCTCTCGGACGGCGAGAGGCCGAACCCGAACCTGGTTCGACGGTTTCCAGAGCCTGAGTTTGGTCTTCCGATTCGATATTTTCTCGATTATCTTCATTATCCTCTCGATTATCTTCATTGGAAGGGCTAATATTAGCTCTAAAAACTCCCATTTGATGGTCTTCAGATGAATTTCTAAAAGCTGCCACATTCCCAGCCCGCCATCGATTCGCCATGGCTTCTCAAAAGAATCAGATCTCCGAACAAGAACACCAACAACCTTATCTATCGTCTTAAAACCAAACCAACATACTCATGAACCAGACATTTAAGACACGGGTTCCTCTTGTTTTTGCATGAAAAACAAACAAACCCTAACCACAAATCACAAAGTATCAGATCCAAGTTTCAAACCTCAAAAACATATAGAATCTCAGAAACTAAAAAGGACCAATAAAAGGATTGTTTGAAGGACACTCTATTTACAGATGAAAAAGGAAGCAAGAAATCAAATCAAAGCAACTGAAAGAGATCTTTCAAGTACGGGGGTGAAAAAAAAACACTAGCTTGATTTCAGGAGAGGAGAGGTAGGGGTCCTCTTTGCCCTTTGTTTATGCGTCCTTTGTGGCAGAGCTGACCCTGCTAAGGGTAGTGTACCCTTCTAAAGTGCATTATTCTAAAAATTCAGCCTGGTTTTATACGATTACCATGTCGAAAAGTCCCACTATTTGTTTTGCATAGGCTGGTTTCCTGTATGTCGACCTGGTTTTCCCTTTTACTTTTGTAGTTTTTGGATTTTACAAGGGTTTTCTTTTTCAAACTTAAAATGGCCATAGTTCTAGGGGGATGCATTTACAATGTACATATAGAGGAAACCCATCATCATTAACTGGGAACGGCTCATCTACCATGGAGTTGATTATGATTGGGTTGGTATTTAACATTGATGTGATACTATATATATATGAATTATATTTATATTTTCAAATCTTATGTATTTATATATAATTTAATATAACTATAAGGTAATATTTATTTAAAATTTAAAATTTCAAGAGATATTAATATTAGTTTTAATTACGGAGAATTATTTAAAACATTAAAATATAACATTTTAAACATTTCATGAAGTAATTGAAGATAAGACCTTTATATCTTTCGTCATCTTTAATTGACTCATGCTCTTACAATTATGTGTGTTTGACACGCGTCGCGCGTGTATTTCTTTTAACAATTTTGCATAATTTTTTGACCCAGAATTTTCTAATTCATTTTATTATAGTTTTAGATGACGTCAGTGTTAAAGAAATTGTACATTTAAAGATTATTTCAATAAAAAATTGAAATATATATTATTTCAATAAGTCACCCAATTTCATCTTAATTCTTAAATTTTAGGGTTAGGTAGATTATCAATGTGTCACTACTATTTTAACCTATTTTTTGGTAGAACACAAAGCTCTTAACCTTGTGGTCGTGGGATCGGGTCTCATGGTGGACAATTCATAATTGGAGGTCTTCCACGGAAGCTATTCTCAACCTAGCGTTGGGGGTCAGCCTACTACCCTACATCCCCTTACCCCATTACATATGGAATAGGTTCAGCTGATTTATTTTTAATTAGGATGAATTCAATGTCTCAAATCAAGAAGCTATGGAATTCAAGCATGCCCCTAAAAGGAAACCTATATAGCAAGCAAGTAGGGCATATAAAACCATGTGCTAGCTATTCACAATGTGTCCACATGATGATGATTGATATGATTTTGGTTATGGATGATCAAGGGGCTTAAGATCAAGTTTATTTGAAAGTTGGGCACATGTGGATGTATCAAATCAAGCTGAGTGATACACTTCCATTATTCAAAAACTCCTCTTAGCCTTTATTTAGGGTTGTACTCATACCAAATTATGGGTAATATTTATGTAGCAAATCAAATTCAGTAATATGCATAATGTCGAGGTGATATTTTTTAATTATTATTTTAATTTTGATAAGGTATCATCTTATTATGACGTTCATATTATCATTATTTTTTAATAGTTGGAAATTGAAATAGTACTAAAACGTAACATTATAAATGATTTTAAAAGAAATAATAGTTGAGTGATCAAAATAGAAACGAAATAATAGACGGTTAACCAAATAGTTAATTTACCATATATATATATATATATCCAAACATAACTTAACCTAGCGATGTAACAAGAATTAAGCAATTTTAGTGATTAAGAATTTTGTTATTATTTTTTGAGGTATGAGATCAAACATCGTGTATGTAGGGATATAGGTGTTCATTGTCAAAGGGTTGATAATAGGAATGGACATGACTCGAAAAATATACACAATCCATATGAAGGCCAATCATTATTCTCTCGACTCAACATGAAACAAATATATTTATTAAAAATATTGTTTTTATTCAATAAAATCATAGATCTGATTAAACATATATATATATATATAGAGGTATTATTTTCATTATCCTTAAATATATATATATAAGATAAAATTATATTATTTTCCGAATCGATTCAGATCAATATTTTACACTAAACTCGAACTTGATTTTACCCGAATATATACTCTAAAAAACTCAACTCAATTTGACATAAATTGATTTTATTTTAAAAAGAATCCGACCTATTAAGTGAATCGAGTCAGAATTTATCAAATTCGAGTATTTTACTATCTCCAGTTAAGAGTTATTGAATAAATATTACTATATATTCACTCATATTTATTAAAAAAAATAACCTAGCGACTTAGCGAAGCTAGGGATCAAAAGGGCCGCACCCTGGCCTGCACCGCCACACGTACACTTTTATCTTGTTCGACGGTCAAACACTGTGTTCGGTTCTGTTTCCGACAGACAGACTGACTGAATGCCCATTATCGGTGCACATCTTTCCATTGTTTTGTCGAATCTCTTCTTTTGTTTCCTTTTGAAGTGAATAAATAATCCCAAAGTTGCCAAACCTATTCAAAACCGAATCCGTAGTTTCTAGCGTAGAGATCACATTCGGCGGATTCTGATTCGATCTAATTTTAAGTTAATTTTTAAAAAAAATTGGGTTCAATCGAGTAGAGTTAATTTTTTGAGAATGTGAGATCGGATTAAATTTGGATTGGATGAAAAGTGAAAAAATTCCAATTCGATCTGGGGATAATAATATAATTTCTTTAAAAAAATTGTTTTTTAATTAAATCATTATTTTATATCAGGTCGAGTCGGATTAGATTTATACTCTAAAATTTTGGGATCAGATTCGTGTGAAGAATTTATAATTTTTAGGTCAGATCAGGTTGACCCAAAATCTACCCGATCCATTGCCATCTCTATTCTAGCATCGGTCCTTAGTGTTTTCCTTTAACTACGAAATGGTAAATTACAAATTTACTTATCGAATCAAAATTCAGTTATGTTGACCGATTGTGTTAGACACTGGGTTGACTAATGATTAATATTTTTTCTTAAATTTTAGATATTGGTTAATTTAGTTTAAAATGATTAATTAATTAATCAAAAATATTAAATATTTAATATATTATAGATATTACATAATATTTTAAACCCAACTAATTAAGAATAAGACCCAACTATTTTTTAACTATACTAACCTCGTTAAATATTCAAGACTCGATCGAATGTTAACTCGAATAAAAATAATATTTCTATAAAACTCAAATTAATCGTTTGAGAGAAAACTTACAACAAATTAGACGAACTTTATTTAACTTGGTTAATAATTTTTTAAGAAAAAAATTTGATTTAGTTAGTAATTAAAGGAAAAATTAATTAATTTTATAATTTATTTCGACCACTAATCAAATTAAACGACTAAACATGCGATAGTCAAGGTGCAAGCTAATAGGAATAACAACGCGAAATTAAACATGCATGCAAGTGTTAAAATATAAAAGAATTTTTTTCCTCCTCTCCGTTCCAAGGTTGTCTTAACTAATCCATATAGGGATGGTCATGGGTCGGGTTTTTGGTCCACCCGATCTGACCCGAGAACAATGAGTCATTCACCTGAGATCCGACCCGACCAAAACAAGTTTTCACCCGACCTGATATATAACTTAAAAACCCTATCGACCCAAAATAATAAAAAAATTTTTATTCAATAAAAATGATTTAATTGAAAAAATAATATATAGAGGGGTATTATTGTAATTATTCTTAAATATATAAGGTAAAATTATATATTTTTTTGGGGTCAGGATTTTTCACCATAAACCCGAACCCGACCCTACCCGAACATCACATTTAAAAAAACTGACCCGAACCGATTTTTTATTAAAAAAATCCAACCGATCGCATCGGGTCGGAACCCGTCGGGTTCGGGTCCTATGCCCACCCTAATTCGGATGACCCACATCGCACACTAAATTTTGGTGGGTAAGTCTTCCGGCTGGGATCCTCTATATACAATGACTCAAACTCGATACCTTAAACGATATCAAATTGTTTACTGCTTGAACCAACTCATGTCGATAAAATATAAATAAATTTATTTTTTTGATACATCCAGAAGATAAGTTAATTCATGTAATGCAATGTAAATAAATTTATTAAACATGCATGCAAGTACTATTAAAATAAGCTCAAGGACGTTGGGCTTATTTCTCACTTAACATCAGCCTCCGGATGATCTAACTGCTAGCTATTCATAATGTTTCCATATGATGATCATTGATATGATTTTGGTTATGGATGATCAAGGGCTTAAGATCAAGTTTATTTGAAAGTTGGGTACATGTGGATGTAGCAAATCAAATTGAGTAATGCAATTCCATTATTCAAAAGCTTCACTTCACACTTTATTTAGGTTGTTGGACTAATGCCAAGGAGAAGTTTTTATTTGAATATTATTTTGATACTAATAAATTTATTTTTAGATAGTAAAATAGATAAAAAAATATTTATAATTATATAAAAATAAGATAAATATATAAATTATTTCTCAATTATAGATTATTGCTTTGTTGAGTCCTCTTATACTACTTGATCGTCATAAAATTTAGATTAAAAAACGACGAACTTTAGAATTTAAAAATGGCTAATTTAATTTTTTTTATAAATTTGAAGTAAATATAAAATAATATCTACGAAAAAAATTTAACTATTCGACAATGAATATTCATACGGTTTACATTTATAATGTACTTTGTCCATTGTTTTGTAGATGTTTTTGTGGGGTGGGGATGTTTATCCAAAGCATTTTTTAATGAATAAATAAAGCCAAAGTATACAATAATGTAATTAATTAGTCCAATAAGGTATATAGAAGTTTATTTAGGGATCGATAGCATTATTACAGTAACTTGAAACTCGTCACGTCGAGATAACGAGTTTTAATAAAAAAATATTTTTATTCAAATTTTTTACCTCGATGTAATAAAATTTAATAAAAAAAATTATTCTATTGGAACTCGTCACCTCGACATAACGGGTTGAAATAAAAAATATTTTTTATTTAAACGCGTCGCTTCGACGTGACGAGTTCCATGAACACTATAGAAAATACTGTAGATCCCAAAATAAACTGCTATTTACTCTATTTTTCCAAATAATTTATTTGTTTTTCTTATTGGGCCCAAAAACAATATAAAAGGCCATATACCAAATAATTTTTTTACAGTTTTAACCATGTTGAAGCGTAGAAATTTATATAATAAACCTAATATACTAAATATAGGTAAAATTGGTCCAATAAATTAAGCGGGTAAAAAAATTAGTCCATTAGGTCGATCCAAATTTTAATTTGGGATAGACGATAAATGTTACAGTACAAGGCAAACTCTTATACTTACATGATGAGTTTGTCTAAATAATATTTTTTATTCAAACTCATCACGTCGAAGTGACGAGTTCTAAGTCACTGTAACAAATGTCGTAATTCCCAAAATAAAATGTCTGATGCCATATTAGACTACATAATTAGTCTGTGTATGGCATTGGGCTAAATTTACCCCAAATATACACTACATAAAACGCCATATATCTGGGCCAATGTATCAGTCCGGCTCAGCCATTAACATTATTGGTTTGGACCGCTGTTTCTGGCCGGTTTAACCCACAATCAATCGATCCAACAGAAACTTGAAACCGCCGCGCGTAAAAGCTCAACAGAAAATCATTATCCATACCTGCTTCAGCATTATCCACATTAAAGCAATGTCTGAAATCCGACAATGGCTCTTCTCTACCATTTCAACAATGTTTCTTTGTATTCCAAAAGATTCTCTGTAAAAAAAAACCCACAAAAGTCCCCCCTTTGCTTCATTAAACCCCACTCTTCTTTGAACTATCATACGCCTAAGGTTCTATTTTTTCAAACCCTTTTTTACTCTCTCGATTCTTCGTTTGTTTTGGTTGATTTAAGGTTGTTTGGTTTTGTACGGGTTCTCGAGGAGAAACTCGAAAAGGGTTCTTTCTCTTTGGGACAAACATTGTCCAAGGCTAGCTTGCTTGCCCTTGATTCTGCTTCTGTTTTCTTGGTGGATCCTGCACTTGCTTTCAAGGTAAATTTGAGTTTTCATTGTTATACACACGAATTCGGTCATCGAAGCTATGTTATTCAGACTCGAGTGTGAGCGTCAAATACGAGTTTTAGACGGTTTAAATCGGTTATGAATGTCTTTTGTTTTGACAATGTATGGTACATCATGCTCTTGTTTTCAAGGTAAATTTGAGTTTCCATATGACACACAAGAATTCGGTCATCGAAGCTATGTTAGTTTGACTCAAGAGTGAGCGTCAGATACGATTTTCCGATTATTTAAATTGGTTATGAATGTCTTTTGTTTTGACAATGTGTGGTAGATCATGCTCTTGCTTTCAAGGTAAATCTGAGTTTTCATATGATACACACAAATTCGATCATCGAAGCTATGTTATTTAGACTCGGTGTGAGTGTTAGATACGAGTTTTCAACGATTTAAATCGGTTATGAATGTCTTTTGTTTTGACAACGTGTGGTAGATCATGCTCTTGCTTTCAAGGTAAATTTGTGTTTTCATTATGATACCACGAATTCGGTCATCGAAGCTATGTTATTTAGACTCGAGTGTGAGCATCAAATATGAGTTTTCCACGATTTAAATCGGTTATGAATGTCTTTTGTTTTGACAATGTGTTGTAGATCATGCTCTTTCTTTCAAGGAAAATTTGACTTTTCATAATGATACACACGAATTCGATCATCGAAGCTATGTTATTTAGACTCGATTATGAGTGTCGGATACGATTTTCCGGCGATTTAGATCGGTTACCAATGTCTTTTGTTTTTACAATGTGCATTGTTTCTGCTAGTCCTAGTTTCTACTTCTGTTTTCTTAGTAGATCATGCACTTGGTTTCAAGGTAAACTTGAGTTTTCATATGATACACACGAATTCGATCATCGAAGTTATGTTTTTTAGACTGAGTGTGAGTGTCAGATACGAGTTTTCGATGATTTAAATCGGTTATGAACGTCTTTTGTTTTGACAATTTGCATTGCTAAAAAGGGAGGACGGCCTTATGGATTTGAAGTAACAAGGGGACAAGACTTAACCGGCAAAGATTTTAGTGGCAAGACATTGATCAAGCAAGATTTCAGGACAGTACTGTTCTGTTTTTTCAGTTAATTGATATTTCTATGGTATTTGCCTTAGTTAATCTCAATGATTTAAATCTCATTTGATCTTCCTTTTTCCTCCATTTCAGTCCATACTTCGACAAGCCAATTTCAAAGGCGCGAAAATGCTCGGTGCTAGCTTCTTCGATGCCGATTTGACAGGTTTTCTCCCAACTATTCTATGTAAACTAACTAAATTCGAACATTTTTCATTAAGAACTTCAAAAGTCCCTCCATTTTTCTGTTGTCTCGAAGAAGGTATTCGACGAGGCTAATTTCAAGTTTCGAGCTTGTTTTTAAGGTCCGGTAATGGTTTGGGGTTTTCAAACATATGATTGCCATATAGATTGAGGCCATTAAAGGGCTAGTAAAGTAATGTAATGTGGTTAAGTTGGCCTCACTGGTTAAAAGACCTCGATTCGTATCGGTTTTCATGAAATATCTGTAATTTTCAGGTTGTAGAAGGCTTCGGGTTGAATCAATTTTTCATGGATCTTCCGCTGCTTTTATACTCATATATGCTTACATAATAGACATCGATCTTTTTTTTGAGTTGCAGCTAGTAAATAGTTTAGATAAGTGCATGCCTGCAACTTTAGACAAACACTCGAATCTTTTGTTCTTTGTCCCTGCTCGTGTTTTAAACGATTCTTGATTAACCGAAACGATGCAGGAGCCGACCTTTCCGAAGCTGATCTTAGGGGTGCAGATTTTTCTCTGGCAAATATAACAAAGGTAAAGATCAATCACATGTTAGGTGTATATCTTTTTGGTATTGGAAAGATCTTTTAAATTCGGGTTTGATCCGAGTCTGTTTTCATACGGATAATTCACTGTTCTATCGGATGATATCTTCGTTCGAATCTCCGGTCGTTCCTACCTACAGGCAAATTTAAGCAAAATGGTCGGTTTTCAGTGATTTTGTGAAGAACCTCGTACGTGTGCTGTGTTGTTAAGCAAATACAGCTCGGTTCAGACATGTTGGGCCGAATCTGTTCGATTTTATTTCCCTGATTTTGCCCATTTTTAACCGCATCGTTGAGATTTAAATTTAAAAAGGCATAATACCAAAATTAGTCTCTATTCTATTTTTCGGAATATTTTGGCCCCTAACATTTTATTTTATTGCAAAAAGGTCTTAACATCTGATAAAATAGTCACTTCGGCCCTTATTCCTTTTTTTGGATCATTTTAACCCTCAACGTTTCGTTTTACTTTGAAAAAGGCCATAATTTTTTAGCGTTAATCGTGTGTTAACTAAAATTTTCCAACTGTAGAGGGGGGTTTTGTCCCAAAGTGAAACGGTAGAGTCAAAATGCTCCAAAAAAATAAGGGGCAAAATGACTATTTTGATAAACATGGAGGGTTAATTTTAATATTATGTCATTTAAAAAGTACTTATAATTAAGAATTTAAAAGTTAATAGAGTATATGGAATTGGATCGGTCTATAACTCGAATTTAACTCAGCTCGATTTGGTCAAATGAATGTTCTCTTAAATATTTATATTTGCTAGTGTTTATACATTTTTCTTCATTTAATCTGAATTCAAATTAAACTAACTTTATGTTAATTTTTTAATCTAAATTTTACTCGCACAAATTATAAAAATCGGTAATTAAATTTTAAAATATTCTATATTAATCATGAAATTATTAATATTATTCTATTTTAATCCTCCCATTAACACGTCGTCAGCGCTATTGATTTTTTAAGGTTCTGAGAATTGAACTCGTGGCCTAAAAAATTGATATGTTTTTTATGAATGATGTAATAACTTTTTAGAATGTTGCAGGTTCAATTCTCATGACCTTGAAAAACATATTAAATATGTTTAACAAGAAGAGTCTAATGACATATTAATGAAAGGATCAAAATATAATGATATCGATAGTTTAAAGATTAGTATAAAATATTTAAAGTTTAGGGATCAATTTATAGTGAGATCATAATTTATTGATTGATATAAAATAGTAACTCGTCTCCTAACCTAAAATCATGAATCCATCCCCATCGAGGGACGGAGCCATGTGGGTCATTGAATGGCCACTGGCCTCGCCCCAAATTTTTTTACCATTAAAAAATATAGGGATAATTAACTATTTAGGCCTTTAAATTTTGATTTTTCCACTCCTAATTTTCTATCGTTAATTATACTTTACCTCCTTGAACTAAAATCTTGACTCATCCCTGTCACTGCCTCTAGAATTTGTTTAGATACTAAAATCTTAGCTCTGTCCCTGTCCCTACCTCTAGAATTTGTTCAATCCAATCTAACCTCTAATTCACTAACCATGTTCTAATTTTTCTTCTCCCAACAAGTTGAACAATGAAGACATTTTAGGTAAGAAGAAAAAGGCTTAAAAGTCTTTAAATAGTCAATGCTTCATATTATTAAGTCAATTTCATCTTCATCTATCTCAATTGTTTAGGGTTTTGGAATTGAATAATCTTGACTAAGCTACTCCAAGTTAATTAAGAAATCATGAAAATGTGCATGTTGGAATTATTAGGGCAGTGGCTATGCATTAAAAGGAATCATTTCTTGGCAAGTTGGTATATATATTTATGAACAAGATAAGGACCTTCATAAAGGTCTTATGTCATTCAATATATAACCATAGATTAATCCTTTTTTTATATGCTAACTATACTTAGGTAATAATAATATATATATATATGGAAAAAAAAATCCTTTGTTTTAAAAGGTTGGTTCAAGTGGTAAGCAGTTTGATATCGCTTAAGTATGTCTCAATTTCAAGTCCTTATATATGCAGAAAACTTTTGCTTAGAGACTCACTCACCAAAACCAGGTGTGTGATCCGGATAGATTCGAATAAGTCAAGACGAAGCCCCTTGAAAACCAAGAGAGCAACTAAAAAAATTATAATTTTATATTTCAAATTTTAAATAAATAAAATTATGTAAACCCTAGTTTTTACAATTTGTATATAAAAAAATACTCCCCCATATATAATATGCTTGAGATAAGGACCTTCTTCAAGATCTTATGTCATTTCCTATATAGGCCATAGGTAGTAGGTCTTTTGTTTTTAAAGATAATTCAAGAAACCCAAATTTTAATTTACTAGAACTATATTACATGCAAATAATTGAATGCAAGTTGAACCACAATTAATTTCGGACATTTAAAGTTTGAGGCATATTATAAACATTTTTTTTTTGTTTCTTAGCATGTTGTTTGAAGAACATAACCAAACCTTTCTCAAAATGAAACAAATTAAAAATTAAAATGTTTTTAATGGATAAAATGAAACAAAAATAAAAATACAAAAGGGGGTCAATGGAATAAAATATTGAGCAAATAAAAAAATTGTAATTTTAAGCTTGTTTTTTTTTTCAATGTTTGTGTACAGGGGCGGACTCAGGGGTTGCCGGGGTAGCCCGGGCAACCCCTCAAATTGTGAGGAACATTGATCAAATGATATTATTTTAGTATTTATATATATATATATATATATATATATTGTGTTTTTAGGTAGAATCCCTATATTTCAGATAAATTCTTATAGAAAAAAATTTTATACAATAAAATTGTCTACTTAGTGTTAATTTTTTCTAATTTTTTTAATTAATACAAGTGTCACCTTTAATATTGTGCAACCCCTAAAAAAATTTATAAGAATTTTTTTGTGCAACCCCTGAATTTTTATCCTGGGTCCGACCCTGTTTGTGTATAATGTTAGAAATTAATAGTGAATCACAAGCTGACACTTCACTAAAAATTAAGTTTTGGTTATTAAGTCATGACCCATCATTTGTTTAGGTTGAATACTTCTTAAATTTCCATCAATTTCAAAATTAAACAAATTAAATCAAGGCACTTTAATTTTAAAATTCCAAATGTATTTACTTAATAATTAAATTATGACCTTTGTTGACGGGAGAAATGTGATTGTGATAATGTTTGACGGTTTATTCCTTCTGATTTAAATGGTGAATCTTAGACGATGGTTTTGCAAATGTAAGAGATGAGATAAGCAGGCTAAAAAAGACGGTGAATAATAGTCTTAGAATCAGGGCCGGGGCAGGAGGGGCACCAGCCCAGGGCCCATAAATTAATTATTTTAAGTATAATATTTTTTTATTTTCTGATAATAAATTAAAAATAAGGTAATTTATGCATTTAGCACCTAAATTGTTAGTTTTGATCCGTTTTAGTACCTAAAATTTTAATTTTTTTCAAAATCATATTTAATGTTTAGTTTTCATTTCATTTTAGTACCCTGCCGTTAAAAACTTAATGTGTTTAGTACATAAACTATCAGTTTTAGTACCTAAATTTTTTTTAAAAATAAAACTTAACGTTAAATTTTGAATGGGTACTAAAATGAAATAAAAAAACTAAAGTTTTTAACGGCGGATACTAAAATGAAATAAAAATTAAATCTTAGGTATGATTTTGAACAAAATTGAAAGTTTATGTACTAAAACGGGTCAAAACTGATAGTTTAGGTACTAAACACATAATTTACCAAATGAAATAATGGGGCCCATGAGTTTATTAAGATGTCAATTGTCATTATTGAATTTTATATTAACGTTAATAATTTGTTCTTCTATAAAATTCTAATTCAATATTTATTTCCTAAAATTAAAAAAAATCAATTGAATATCTTTAATTTTGGTCTTTCCAAATTCCCACCATAAATTCACCAAATCTCTTTCCCGATTATTCATATCAATGAACAAATTTATTAACGTAATTTTTTTCTTCAAAACTTAGTGAGAGGAAAAATTTCAGTATAATTATCATGTTTCTTTTCTCTTTCATGTTTCACGATTCCTCTAAAAATTATTATTCTCATTTTTAATTTATCATATTTCTCACTTAAAGTCAAACTTATTTATCATCAATTGTGGTGCTTGAATCATATTGAAGATTATTCTTAAAATTCTAGGCAGATCACGTTTTCAAATTATTTCTTTTAACTTTTATATATTTTCAAACTCTAGATAAGATCATTCTTTCATTTTCAATTGCTATCATAAATGGTTTTGCATAAAAAATGATCGAATGTATTATTTTTATAAGTATTTGTATTCTTAAATATATTTTTGACATCTGTTATATTATAATGAATAATTATTTTTTAATTTAATAAAATTTTTATATTACATATTTCTTAAATTTTTTATATTGGGGCCATTTTTTTATTTTCACCCCGAGCCTAGAAATAATCCGAACCACCCCTGCTTAGAATTAGATAAAGTGCCCACCTTATCATATTTGAGATTGTAACCCAAAATGCTAACACCTTATCATCTTGAGATTTTATACAAGTAGGGATGATAATTTAACCCAAAATCGATGGATTTTGATTCGATCCGATTTGAGATTTTTAAAAAAATCAGGTAATGGTCGGATCGGATTTTTAAGGGAGTGAGGTCTGGTTAGGTTCGGGTGGAGAGTGAAAAAAAATCCTACCCGACCCAACCCATGGATAGTAATGTAATTTTCTTAAAAATTATTATTATTTTAATTAAGTCCTTATTTTAGATCGGGTCAGGTCAGATTTTTATTCTAAAAATTTAGGTTGGGTCAAAGTCGGGTGGAGAATGTATATCTTCGGGTCGGGTCGAGTGAATGATATATAATTTTTGAGTCAGGTTGGGTCAGATTTATACTCTAAAAGTTTAGGTCGGGTCGAAGTCAGGTAGAGAATGTATATTTTTCAGGTCAGGTAGGATCCAGTTCTGGTGGAGGATACATATTTTTCGGATAGGGTTAGGTTGACTAAATACTCAACTCGACCCATTGTCATCCCTATATACGAGCCCTTAGTATTGATGTTAGGACTAGGGTGATTATGGTCGACAATGTAAGTAGACCTGACCCCTATACAAAGGACTTAGTGGTGATAGGATTGGCAATAGTCAAATCAAGAAACTATAGTTGTCTGGAGGATATAGAACTCTGACGACTTCTGGGAACTCCCGAGGCTCCCATAGACGAAGTATTGGTTGTGGAGGTGTGGTTTTTTGGAGGAGCTATAACAACCCTCATTTTATTACCATTTATATTTGACTCCCTTGAAGTTTTATCCTGACTTTATCCCTAACATTAACACTTAGGGATGACAACTCAACCCGAACCCGACGGGTTCCGACCCGACCCGATCGAGTTGATTTTTTTAAAAAAAATTGGGTTCGGGTTGGGTCGGTTTTTTTTAAATGCACTGTTCGGGTCGGGTTGGATTTAGGGTGAAAAAATCCGACCCGACCCGAAAAATATATATAATTTTACCCTATATATTTAGGGATACTTACAATATTACCTCTCTATATATAATTTTTTTCAATTAAGTCACTGTTTTTATTGAATAAAAATATATTTTATTATTATTTCGGGTCGTATCGGGTTTCTAAGTCATATATTCGGGTCGGGTCAGGTGAAACCTTAATTTCGTCGGATCGGGGTGGGTCACGGGTGAATGACCCTTTCTTCTCGGGCCGGGTGACCCAAACACCCGACCCGACCCATTGCCATCCTTATTAACACTATCAATCAAATTAATACTCAATTGAATAATTTTATTGTTACCCTAATAGTACATCTATTAGAAAATATAGAAGAAAAGGGTTACTTTCAAACAAGTGGATCAATCTCCAAGAATTACTAAACAATGAACCCCTTTTTGAAGAAATTTGCCAAACCAATACTTAGCAACAATGATTGTGCACCAAATCTGCTAAAAAAAACAATTGATACTCGGGTGAAACCTTGATTTCGTCGGGTCGAGTTGGGTCACGGGTGAAACCTCTCTATATATAATTTTTTTCAATTAAGTCATTGTTTTTATTGAATAAAAATATTTTTTTATTATTTCTGGTCGGGTCGGGTTTCTAAGTCATATATTCGGGTCGGGTCAGGTGAAACCTTAATTTCGTCGGGTCAGGGTGGGTCACGGGTGAATGAACCTTTCTTCTCGGGTCGGGTGACCCAAAAACACGACACGACCCTACCCATTGCCATCCCTATTAACACTATCAATCTAATTAATACTCAATTGAATAATTTTATTGTTACCCTAATAGTACATCTATTAGAAAATATAGGAGAAAAGGGTTACTTTCAAACAAGTGGATCAATCTCCAAGAATTACTAAACAATGAACCCCTTTTGAAGAAATTTGCCAAACCGATATTTAGCAACAATGACTGTGCACCAAATCTGCTAAAAAAACAATTGAATAGCTTCACTCGACGTGCCAAAGCAAAGCAGAAAGAGAATTAAATTAGGAAAAAATATTAGACTTTTTTATCTTAGCATTTTTCAAGAAACTTTCTTCTTAGATTTTCATGTAGTTTTCAACGTATTGAATGTAAATAGGGTTGAATTAACCCTCCACTTCTATATAAACCCTATCTTCTTCAAGCCCCATGAAGTACCAATGAAGTGTTTAAGTGGTTCATCATGGGCGTATTCATGGCCTCCTCGGTCGTACTCGTGCAGTTTTTGCAGTCGAGAATTCCGGTCGGCTCAAGCCCTCGGTGGTCACATGAATGTTCATAGAAGGGATAGGGCTAAGCTCAAACAATCCATTTATGATCATTCCATTGATGATGATCATTCTAGGATTTCTTCCATTGTTGAAGAGAACAAAGGGCAACCGTTAGATCATATCACCGAAAGACCTAAAAGGTCTTTTGATGATATGATTTCAGGTTCCGACGATGTCGAGACCAGTTTGTCTGTTGGGTTGAGTACTTCTGTCTTGCTCAAACGACCAAAGGATGCTGTTTCAGCATGGCCATATTCTCCTCTCCAATGGCCGGTGCTTGAACCTAAGCCTGCAAGCTCCATTGAAGGGTTGGACCTTGAGCTCAGGCTCGGTGTTCTATAGTGGATGATTTGGTCTGACGTCTATTTTTCCTCTCCATTTGTATCAGTTCTTTTATATTATCAGTGAAAATGATCATACAAGTTCGATTATATTTAAAGTTAATCGAATCAAACTCGACTATTATATGCATCAAACGATGAATTATTGCACTATTTTAACAGTTTTTAATCCCCATGAATTCTGGAAAAAGAGACTATTTGATCTCCAAAAGTCCAAGATCTTCACCTAACACACAATGGAAGTATGGAAGCAAGAATAATTTATACACCTAAAACATATTTTACTAGTAATATTCTTATGGGTTTGAACTCGAGGTTCGTATGTTTAAAGTATAAAAAATTGGTTTAATTGCACAAAACATCCTCAAATTATCACCTAAATTTAAATCCATTGTTAAATTTTAAAATATTCTAGTTGAGATTTTAAAGTATTAGTATAGTACTAGTAAGGCATTTCCAATAACCTAGCTATCGTTTCAGCCTTTCAGGCATTAAATGCTAGTTTGGATTTGACACACAGCATTTTCATTACATGTGAGTCAAATTGTTAATACGTATATACTTATTGTAAATATGTTAAATGATAGATTTTAGTTGAAATTTAATATGTAAACTAAAATTGAACATAAATCATTATATATAAACTAAAGTTGATGTCTCGGGTTTGAGCATCAGAAATGAGGGAAGTGAGCGTTTAATGTCAAATGGTTGAGCGTTATCGTTAAATAGATATCACCATGTACTTACCCTATATTAATCCCAAAAAAAAGTTAACTTAATGGTAAAACTGCAATTCCCCTCCCTTCCAAATAAAATTATTTTCTCAATTCCGGCCCCTTAATAGAATTTTCTAGCTTTGCCCTTAACCACAAGGATGAAAAAAGGACTAAATTGATGGCATATTTATATTTTAAGAACTCAATTAAAAGGCGTTGAAGTTTAAGGATAAATTTAGAATTTTCTCCATAGTTTGAGGGCGTACAATTAAATTAACCATATTATTTTGTATAAAAAGTCTTAATCGACACGAAACAACTAAAAAAAACAGGTTATTAGTACCATTTCCTGAACAAACCAAACCTAGAACCCTAAAGAAAGAAATAAATATTCTGCAAAAAAACAACGACAAAACATTATAAATCTGCCCTATGCTATAAAAATAGGCTGTTTATAGCCATTAATGAGCTAATTCCTCCCTGTGACACCGACGGATCCTCCGTGATACACGGCGGAGGTCACTGAGTCACCCGTGGTTGTTTTTTTTCAACGTTTAACTCGATAAGGAAAACAGATGAAACATCACTGTTCCACTTAATTAACATCATAAATAAACACAGTGGCATGTTGCAAGGAATTTATGTTACCACCCAACAACAACAACAGATCTTCCTGTTCCGATGGTTTTTCCTTACATGTTTTTGGGGTTTCTTTGTTTTGTCGCGGAGGGTTTTTAAGGACAGGCATAAGGGGTTGATTTAGGGTTCCCATGGTAATGGCAGATATGCACATGGGGGGGGGGAATGATCTGTCTGGTTTTGTTTATGTTGCTTTTTGAAGGATTCATTAATGGCAGGTTTCCTCTTTTGGAAACTGAACTGCATGTCTTGAGAAACTGCATCTTTGGTGTTGGATTATTGCAACGTCTTACGTTGTCGATATTGTGAGGACCATTTGACAAGAAGTCAACTTCTTACTTCCATATCCATATTAAGGTACATTTTGATTTGATTCGAATCTAAAAAATTGATGTACTTTTTTATAGTAGTATGATATTATGTGATTTTACGATGTTTTTGTTAAAAATTAATAGAAATATTGATGTGATATTTTTTAATGATAATGTATCATTATTTTATGATACAATTAGTATTATAGTTAATTTTCAGGTTAAGGGCTACTATTGTCCACATAGTATACCCAATTTATCATTTTTGCTCTATTGTATTTTCGCGTCAATTTAGCCATTAAAGTTAGTTAATCATATCATCTTAATCCCTAAAATTTATACATTGATGCAATTAAACAATTTCGATAGTTAAATTGATACAAAAATACAACATGTGAAAAATGATAAATTGGGTACTACAGGTTGCCCTTAAGCCTTAATTTTTTGGGTTAACTACACGAATGATCACTTATGTTTGTGTTTTGTTCATTTTGGTCACTAGTTTCAAAATACATAAGATATGGTCACCTTCGTTCTTAATTAATTAAGATGTGGTCATCTCAAGTTAACTGTCCTTAAATATTTTGGTATAATCACACAATTGGTTTTTTTTATTTACATATTCTCTCAATGTAGTCATACTTTTAATAAATTAAAATAAATTTAATCCTCCAATCAAATGATGACATTATCATTGGTACCACGTGTTGTGTCATGTGTCACCATTCGGTTGGAAGACTAACTTTATTTTAATTTAATTTATTTTATAATTTAACAAAAGCAAATTGGTGAAAAATAAATATATTAAATGAAAATAAAGTTAGTTCTCAAATCGAATGGTGACACATGATATGACATATGACACCAGTGACACATGACATGATTAAAATAAAATAAAGTATGACTACATCTTAAAAGTGGCTATTATACCAAAATATCTAACAAGATTTAATTATTTTAATATATTAAAGGTGTGACTACATTGAGAGAATATGTAAATAAGAGGAACCAGATGTATGATTATACCAAAATATTTAATGACAGCCAACTCGTGGTGATCACATCTTAATTGAATAATAACAAATGTGATAGTATCTTATGTATTTTGAAGTCAGTGACCAAAAGTGAACAAAACACAAATATAAGTGATCATTGGTATAGTTAACCCTAATTTTTTTAACGATGACCAAAATGTAACATTAGGTATGATTTTTTTAAAAAATAATTAGGTGATCTAAATACAACAAAACTAATAATTAAGGTATTAAATATGTAATTCACCCTTTGTTTTAAAGAGGGATGTCGGTTAGGAGGGCCGATGTGGGGTGCTGCCCATATTTCATCCTCCACGACAAATCCTTTTTTAGGTAAACTATACAAATGATCACTAATATTTGAGTAAGTTTTTATTTTCACCACTTATGTTTCAAAAATCACAAATAGGTTACTAACGTTATCGTTTATTACAAATTCATCACTCGACGTTAACAGCCGTTTGTTGAAGTACTAGAATGCTGATGTGACAAGTTAATATGACTTTTAGCATCATTTGACCAAATTAGACCATTTTGACCTTCCCTTATTCTTCGACGCATCCCCTTCTTCTACAACTACTATTATTTTTAGAGAAAATAACCTCAGTGACCAAAAATCCCATATAATATACGATTTTAACCAACTTTTTCCGGATTTGCCAAAATGACCAACAAAATCGCAATGCGATCGCTAATTCGCAACGCGATCTCCATTATCGCAAATTCGCGTTGCATTTTCGCAATGCGATAGTTGAAAATCGCGTTGCGATGGTCTACAGTATCGTTGCGATTTTCCCAATTCGCAATGCGAATAAGTAAATCGCAACGCGAATTGGGAAATTCGCAATGCGAATAAGTAAATCGCAACGCGAATTGGGAAAATCGCAATGCGATACTGACTATCGCAATGCGATAATAAAAAATCGCAACGAGATACTTACTTTCGCAACACGATACTGACTTTCGCAACGCGATAATACATAATCGCAATGCGATTTTCAAAGCGCCATTAGTATCCTGGCCAAGTATTTTATTTTTAAATTCCAAACATGAATATAAATATATTGGAACACTGAACTGTCCACAGTATATCCCGTAATCGCAACTCATAACCTAAAACCTAAAATCACAACTCAGTCCCATCTCCATCTCTCACTCTCTCACCCATCTCCGACGAAATCCGTCTATCTAAATCTCTCAGAGCCACCCTCACAATCAGAAATGGAAAATCAACCAAATCAACCAACGAGGGTTAGTTTTTTTAATTATTTTCTTTTTGAAATTTTTGCATTATTATTAGGTTTTTCATATTGAAATTGATGATAGGTTTACTGGTAATTTCAATAATAGATTAACCATTTCACTTAGATTGCTTATTAAATCAACCAAGAATCGCAACGCGAAATGCAAATCGCAACGCGATTTTAGTTTCGCGTTGCGATTCTCTCGTTGCGATAGTCATTTTAGTGTTGCGATTTTCATTTTCAGAAACTATTCTTCTTCTGCAAATTGAAACTTGAATGAATTGCATTACTTCAACCAAAAAACAAAGACAAATACGAAATTCACAGTGTTGCATATTTAAGTTTGAAGAATAAACTACTACTATTTATGTTTATTATTGTTTTTGGTATATCTTCACAGTGTAGTTTTTGGTATATCTAATTTAGTATGTTTATTGTTTTTGTAGAACTTTTATTCGGCTCAATTGACCTTGAGAAATAAAGTCAGCCTGGCCAAAACAATTGCGTCGAAGCTTTCACCTGCACAAAGAAAAATGTTTGAGGATACATGCTTCGGGCCATGGCTGAAAGTACAACATCCCGGTGGAGATACGATGTTGACACACCTGTTTCTTCAAACCATGACTAGAGATCTACCAGAGACTATACAACGTCGTGATGAAGAGATATGGTTTGATTTTCCACCGGCGTATACGTGTTTTGGGCGGGAGGAGTTTTGCTTAATCACCGGTCTACGCTTCGGACACGATGATGTAGGTCGGTACACTAGACACATTACCCGTCCATCATGGCTATCCCGGGTTTTCCCTGAGCTGGAGAGGCCGAGTCTACACGTAGAAGACCTGACAAGATTTTTGAATAATAAAGATGGTTTTACTCGGATGGATGACGTCGACGTTGTCCGAGTATGCCTTCTAATTCTTTTGCATGCCGGCTTTTTAGGCAGAGAGGCCAGACAACCTATTCCAAATGATCTAATCAAATTGGTAGAAGACCTAAATGCGTGGAACCTGTTTCCGTGGGGCTCGTATTTATGGAAAGCTACATGGAATAAGTT